TTCCCAGCTGAGTTAAGTCTGGGAGCTCTGAATGCACAAAACCACATGGGTTTCTTTCCTGGAGGACTTCTCAGAGCCTTTATGACTCTAATGTGCAGTCTGAATGTTACAAAGGGAGTTTAGTCGGCAGCATTTCCCAAACGTATTGGACCCCAGAGAATACCTAATATCTCTAGGGACAAGAATTCCATCCACAACCACAGTGGAGGGATGCCGGCTTAGTGGTCAACAGTCTGAGCTTTGGAATCAAGCTTCAGATCAAGTCATGCCACTTACTAACAATTTACCTTGGGCAAGTTACTTCTCTGAGCTTCAGTTTCCTGTTTGTAAATTAGGTTGATAGCATCCTCCAGATAGGTGTTTTGAGAACTAAACAGCATCGGGTATATAAAATGTTAAGCACAATACCTGAAGCTTTGTTGTCAACATTAGTTGTCACTTAATTGTCCAGTCATCGCCCAAAATATGTTTACCTACTACCGTAAATATATTTTACTACCTGCACACAGCTGACTCCTCTCTGTATGTCTAGCCCAGAGCACCCCCTGCTCCATACTGTACCTTACTGCTGGCCACCCGCTTCAAGCTTCCTCCCCACTCCAAACCATCCTTCCTTCCTCCCTATGTTACCATCCAGTTACCCAAGCCAGAAGCCCAGGAGCCATCAAAGACTTCCCACTCCCCCCACTCGGAGTTGGTCACCAAATGAATCACTGCCACTTCTTATTTAAGAGATTCTAGGATGTCCAGTCCTGCCCATTCCCACAGCTCCTACCCAGACTGCACATGTTGCCTGGCCTACTCTCAGGTCGAATTCTTTGCCATTCCCTCTGGCAGGAAAGCCTTCCTTCCTCTCTCACTTCAGCCAGTAAACTCCTGTTTATCCTTCAAGCCCCAACTAAGGTATCACTTCTTCTGAAGCACCTTTGCTCACTTTTCTTCCTCCAGCCAGTTAAATTCTCAAGCCTGCCTATGAGATAGCACTTCTCCCCTGTGTGAGTCCTCACAAGCTCCTGGGCAGATTTTACTTTTTTCATCTTTAAATCCCTTGGTACCACCTTACACTTAGTAGGACTGTCAGTAAATATCTATTGAATTAAATATACTTGAGTTTTCAAAAAAATTTGTCTTCTTTCAGTGATTTAATGATTCCTCACAGAGATATAGTCAGCTAATTATTTCAAAGGCTTCCTTGAACTGATAGCAATTGCCATTTCTTCAGCATCTACTGTGTACCAGGTACTCTAGCAAATGCTTTATGTACATTAGCTCATTTAATCCTGTGAGTGAGGTTCTAGTGTTCTCCCCATTTCACAGACAAGTATTTTGAGGTTTATGTAGCTGGTAACTGACAAAGGCAAGATTCAAACTCAGGACTATGTATTTCGATCCAAATCCATACTCTACCCTGCACCTATGAACTGAGGTCTATCTGTATTCTCATCTTGACCGTAGTCACTAGATTTTAAGAAGTACAATTTTATTGCAAATCCGAGCTGAACTTTCCTGTAAAGAAAAGAGCCATGACTTTTTGCTTAGAACGGACTCTCTTCAGGATCATCTCCATTATTTATTTGCACCCATCCTTCAAGCATGTTTTCCTAAACAGCACAAAACCAGGAAGAGCAAATACAAGCCTCAAGAGCTCAGTCCCTGTAGTTTGAGCCTCTCCTCTGGTTCTCCAGATGACTGACACTTTAATGGCACCTTTTCCCTCTAGAGAAGAAACTTGGATCATTTCTTTAGAAAGCATTGAGCAATGTTTTGGTCGAAGGCACTGTGCTAAGACTGAAAGTTCTCTGCCCTTCATGAGCTCACAATCTGATAGGGAGACAACACACAGACATTCTAACTATAAAACTAGGTCAATAAAAAGAGCACGGGTCTGAGTCTGAAAGACCTGGATCCAATTCCAATTTCATATGTGCAACTCCAAAATCCAAAAAGCTCTGAAAACTGACCCTTGGGTTTTTTTATTTGTTTTTGTCTTTTCATAACTCTTTTGGGGGCAAACGTGGTCTCTAACTTGAAGTTTTTATATGGTCATTAGTCATTCCACTTAGTGTGATGATTCATACATTATGCTGCATAACAATGTCTGGTCAGAGGATGCTGCCCCAGCCCCCACGTGGGGTGTAGATAATACATGGTTCGGAACTCTCGAGTACATACAGCTCACCCCAAGAGTTTTGGAAAAGGAATGTGAACTTATACCTCGTGATCAATTGAAAAAAATGTATGCAAAGATTTCATAAACTAAAAAGCAATGAACTCGGATAAGGTGGTCTCATGGTGTGACCACTGTGAATGGGAGCACGCAGGGTGGAGCATGTGATTTTTTTTCAGGGCCAAGAAGAGGGTCAAAAGATGTCTCGGGATATAAAATTTGAGTTGGGTCTTAAAGGGTGAATTGAATTTTTCATTTTGTGGACAAGCTGTGGAAAAGAAATTCCAGGCTGAGGAAAGAGCATATAGAAAATGCAGGAAAAAAATGTCTTTAAGTAGCCTGAGTGCATGGACTTTGTTGGCTTACGGAAAAACTGATTATCTGTCAAAATGCAAGATAGAAGCAGTAAGTTAACTCAAAGGGGCCACTCGTCCACAGTCCGTGTGCTCTGGGCAGGGTTTTCCTTTGCAATGCAGACTTATACGTGCGTTCACAGAGAAACATCGCTGTCCAGCAGATGCCTCCCGGCGTAGCCTGCTGGGGAGGCTGGGAGCTGCTGACCCTTCCGCCTCCCCAGGCCGGTCCAGTGAGGATCGAGCCCACACACCACTCTGGCTGGTGCTCACCTTTCCACCCTCTGCTTGGTTGGGGGTAAGCCACTAACCATCTGGCTTCTCTAGCATCAGACTACCAGGTTCAAGGCAGATCAGGCACTTAGTACTTTTGGTGGCCTTGAGCAAGTTATTTATCTCTTTTGTGCCTTTGTTCCTCAGATATAAAATCAGAATAATAGTAGAAAGCTGGCATGGAAAGCACTTAGCAGAGTGACTCACTGGTAAGCACTCAGACAGTAGTTATTATTATTACCAGTACAAGGACTCCCCCTCCTGCAGCTGTATATAAGTACATGCATTCCTTAATATTTACCTAAAAAGGGGGAAAGAATCCCTTTCTTACTCTCCGGTCACCAACTTCTTCCTAGTTAACCACTTTCTGTGGAGACTATTTCTATTTCGGTTTTTATAGCTGTTTCTCAATCATGAGGAGGCATAGCCTCCCTTACTTTGGTCATAATCTGGTACAAGGATTCCCAGATTGGGATCCCCAGGTCCCCAGAGGTCCTTGTAGGCAGTCAGGGGGGTTCCCAGACTAAATTCAGGGTGCTGATACAGAGGAAGGCAACAAGAGCACTGACTTTGAAGGAGAAACCTTGCCAAGGACCAGTTATCTTACCCGGTGTACGTTTCATAATCTCTGGGAGCCTCCACTTCCTACTGGATGGAATGGAAATAGTGCCCTCGCCCCCGGGTGGTTCAGCTGGTTGGTGTGTTGTCCCCTACACCAAAATGTGCATTCAGTCCCGGGTCAGGGTTCGTATGGGAGGCAACCAGTTGCTGTTTCTCACACCAGTGTTTCTCTCTCTCAAATCAACAAAACATATCCTCGAGTGAGGATAACATCTATATATAAAGAAGGGAAATATTAATACTTTCCTCACAGGAGTGTTACATCTTAAGTCAGATCATGTATTTAAAGCCCTCAGCACAGGACATCGTAATAAATACCTGCCACCATTATTGCTATTAGTTAAAGACATTTCTTGAAAATGACACTTTTACCCAAAGATGGAGCCTCAGATATAATTTAAAACTTTGGATTTCACAGGAAGTGGTAGAGTTACATCAGTTCAGTGTGGTGACATTATTGCCCAATGCTAAGAGCCTCTGGTTGACAGTTACACATGCCTTTAGTAAGTAAAAATGAAGATAATTGTTGCTTAACAATTACATTTGGGCAGAGAAAGCAGTGCAAACATGAAGTCTGAGGGGTGTGAAGAAGGAAAAGGGGTCTGGTAATAAAAGTCACAAGGGCCCACCAGTCTAGTACACTGATCAGTGTTTTCTGGTTGGAAGGTCTCTTTGTAAAAAACAAAAGTAGCACATGGACATTGTCACCAGGCCTTCCTCAAAAGCCCTTTGGCAGGTTTTACCCTTTAACCAAAGTTCCAGTAGTGTCTAGAGCCCACTGTGACCAAAGGGAGTTGTCACGAAAACTTGAAATGGGAAATGCTCTTGGAAGTGACCACCACCTCCCCCTGTTTTACAAATGGAGATTCAGAGGCCTCGAGCAGGAAAGAAACTTGCCTGGGGTGACACAGCCAGCACATAGCAGAGCTTCATACCTAAGATGCTCAGCTCTCTGTCCTGCATCCTTTCTGACAGACCAGGATTCTCATCCAGAAGGAGCATCACTCCAGGGGATGAACCACAGTCACCCAGGGACTACAAAGACCTACAAAGACCATCTCTCTACTTCCCTCACCCCCTCTGCAACTAAAGGAAATGTCTCCTCTCCCCTATTGTATTATGAGGGGGAAAAAGTGGAGAACAAATGAGCCGGCCCAGGGATCTCCAGTTGTGCCTGTCCCTAAGAACTACTTGGGGTGCTCCTACCTGGAGATTCCAGTTCAGCAGTCAGCTGGGGCCTGAGAACCTATATTAGTAAGCACACCAGGTAATCAATAAGCGAGTTTTGGGAAACACAAGGCTGATCTGGGCCAACAGAATTTTTAACTGTTTTCCATCTTAGAGTGGGCAGTGAGGTTGAGAGGTCACTAGGGATTTTCCCCTTGCAGTTAATTACAGATTTAACCTGTATCCTGTGCTCATTCCTTACAGCACCTTTCTCTTTTCTAACAGAACCCAAATTCCTGGGCACACAATGGCAGCTCAAAAAATGTTGCTGCCTGACCTACTCTGGGGAGATGATGTGAGCAAAAGATGCCCCATCTAGCCTGGGTGACATTAACCTCTCTCTTTGGCTCTGTGCTTAGACTGAAGAACCTGGAGCTAGCGGCTGTGGGCGGATCAGATGTCCATGTGAAGATGTTGGCGGCCCCTATCAATCCAGCTGACATAAATATGATCCAAGGTAACCTTGGTTTCTGTGGCTTATGTTAATTGGCTCTTTTTGCTTAGCTGCCGCCTCATTTTCATTCCTCCTCAGGTGTGGGTGTGAAGTTCCTGTGATTAGCAGCAGCTGTTCTCCAGATGTGCCATCTGCAAACTGTGTGAGCCCCTCTGGCCTCCCTGCCCTGGGTGTGAGGCTTTTCCAGCGTTAGGAAAATTGCAGTAGGAGTAAACCAACCACAGTGATGTGCCTGCAAAATACTGGGCTCCTTTCATACATTATCTTAGCCAATCTGCCTAATAACCATGAATACAAAAGTATTGTCCCCCTTTACAGATGAAGAAGCTAAGGCTCAGAGAAGCTGGTTATTAACACAGCTGGTCAAAGGCAGAGAACCCAGATCAGCCTCAGGTCTGACTCCAAAGTCCATGATTTCACTGGCCAAGCCTTGTTGGATGACCCTCCTTGCTGTCTCTCCTCCCTTAGGAAATTATGGCCTCCTTCCCAAGCTGCCTGCAGTCGGAGGGAACGAAGGCGTCGGGCAGGTAGTAGCAGTGGGCAGCAACGTGACTGGGGTGAAGCCAGGAGACTGGGTGATTCCAGCAACTGCTGGTTTGGGTGAGTTTCTCCAGGTATCTGCAGCCTTTCCTTGTTTCACCCACATTATAGAGGTTTGCTCATTGGCTCAGTGTAACTAAGCAAAGCAGGGTTTATTATTAATTCCATACACCTACCCTCAGGAGGGGTGGGAGCTTAACAGAGAGAGAAATTCTGTCTCTTGTTCAGGAAGTGATGTGCCTGCTCTCCCATCTCCTTAGGCCCGTGTTGATTGGAGCTGTGATTCTCTGAATCCCTATATCCTTAAATCCCTGCCGTAAGGCACAATGAGAAACACAAATAAGACCCCCCAGGAGGTTAAGATCTAATAGAAGAAATCTTCAAACCAGTAACCCCAATAAAGGGGGTGCTACAAGTTCACAGGAAGCAGAAGAGACTTCTGGCTACTCTCTGTGCCTGTGGCGGGGGTGGGTGAGGGAGACAGTCTTAGGGAGGGATCAGCGCTTCCTGGAGGAGGCTCATTGGAACAAACCTTTGATAGATGAATTTTGTTAGATGGAGATGAGCCAAAAATCATTGCATTTGGAGGAAACAAATGAGCAGAAGCACAAAGATGAGTTTGGAAAATGGTGGGAAATCCCGTGTAGCCCAGCAGAGGACATACACATGGGAGAGGATGGCATAAGTAAGAAAGAGGGTCAACAAGGTGGTGGGGCCACATGGGGGAGGCCCTGCAAAAGCCAAGCTAAGAGTTGGGGTCTTCTTTTATATATAGTTAGGCATCATTGTTGAGTTATTTAGCATTTGATGGTTTTTGAAGCACAAACATTATACAAATGGATCCTGACAGCAGCCACGAGCAGGAAGCAGAACAGACATTATCCATCCCATGGGACAGATGAGAAACTGAAGCTTGAAAAGAAGCCCTTGCCCTAGCCAGTTTGCTCAGTGGTTAGAGCATTGGACCTGCAGACTGAAGGGTCCTGGGTTCAATTCCGGTCAAGGGCATGCATCTTGGTTGCAGGCTCTATCCCCAGCCCTGGTCAGGGTGCATGCAGGAGGCAAACAATCAATGTGTCTCTCTCACATTGAT